AAAAATAATACATATAGCATGATATTATAATTAAAATTATTCTCCAGGTACGGCCACTAATTTAACGGAATGTAGAATAGCGTGTACAATGGATCATAAAGATTACTATCTTTATTACTTTTTGAAAAGATATACTGGTAGAACATTGGTGTTTTGTAATAGTATTGGTTGTGTAAAACGCTTAGCTACTCTTTTGGGAATACTTGATTGTAGTCCTTTACCATTGCATGCAAGTATGCAGCAAAGACAACGATTAAAAAATCTTGAAAGGTAAATGTTTTTAAGTATCTACATATATATACTTACCTTGAAAGGTAAATGTTTTTAAGTATATGTGTGTGTGTGTGTGTGTGTGTGTACATATATATAATTTTGAGGTAATAAAAATTAGATTTCAGGCGGATGAAGACGGATTATTAATAGCTACTGATGTAGCTGCAAGAGGTTTGGACATTCCAAATGTTGAGCATGTGATACATTACCAAGTTCCTAGAACAAGTGAGGTATGTTTAAATGAATATAAAGTAAATTAGCCTTAAATAAACGTAATATCAGGATATAAGTGAAATAATTATTTGCTTGTTCACCTTTAAAAAATGAAAAATGATTTGCTCAATTATTCAAGTTAATATGATATTATTATATGTTCAATAAAAATACAAGTTATTTTTAGTTGTATATTTGTATTTATTATTTAGAGTTATGTACATAGAAGTGGAAGAACAGCAAGAGCACAAAAGGATGGTATAACAGTTCTTATGATGGAACCATCTGAGAAGCAATATTATAGTAAATTATGTAAAACACTTGATCGCAGTAAGTGAACAAATTAAAAAAATTATATATTGTTAAAATGATATATTAACTTTGAATGTATGCAATTGTTTACGTTCTAGCGGAAGATTTACCTATGTTTCCTGTAGTTGATAAACTGCTAATTGCAGTTAAAGAAAGAGTTGATATTGCTCGAGAAATTGATAAATTGGAATTGAAATGTCGTAGGGATAATTCGCAAAAAGGTTGGTTACGTAAAGCAGTTGAAGAAATGGATCTAATTTTTGAGGAGGACGAAGAGTAAGATTTAATTTAGTCAAAATCATTCATAATATACATTATTAATATATGCTTTCTTTCGTAATCAAAGTGATTTTATTCCTCAGAGATTTGATAGCAGAAATGAAAGAAACAGCAGATTTGAAGCATCAATTAAAAATAAAAAAGCGTCAATTGTCATCGCTTATGTCGAAAACGCTATTTCCGAAAGGTTTTTGCGGGATATATCCTGACATCAATACTGAATTTAAATTAAACGAAAGCTACCAGAAAGCCGTTGACGTAATGAAAAAAGTTATAGAAGAAATTCCAGCGAAGAAGAAAGAAAGAAATAAAAAATCTAACATGAAAAAAAATTCTTTCAAAATCAAAGTTCAAAGAAAGAAGAATAGAAATAAAATGTAATATGAATTGTTTTTTATTGAAAGGGAATGAATTATAAATAAAGATTTCATACATCTTTTCTCATGTATTTGTTTTATTTTGTAAATCTCTTTATTTTTTTTTTTTTTTTGCAATAAAACAAATTTTATTTTAAGTAAGATTTTATTTTAGGAAAGATTGCAGGTTTCTTCTGCACGTATTACATATCGATCCGTTTTTCTTTTTTCTTTTTTTAAGAAAAAAAGTCGTCTTTTTTTCTTAAAATTTTATTCCTTTTCATTACTATTGTTAGTACGTATGGCAAACATATGTACATGCAATTATTACGATCTCTAAAATATTACATATCGTTTCGTGGTGCTTTTTATATAATATGATACAGATTCAATTTCTAATGGTACATTGACAAAAATAATCAACGAGTCAAACTCGATTATCAAACACAGCCGGTTAACTTATCGCAATAAGATTCATTATTTTTAAAATATCGTGTTGTAGATAACTTCATCTTCTGTGCTGATAATCGAGTCAATTTGATCGTTCGTTACCATCGAGTTTACGTATCGACTTTCATCGATGATCTTGCTTGGCAGCGCTGCGGGCGAATCGCGGCCTTTTACAACGATTTTGATCCTGGCCATCACGTGACTTCCGGGGCACTTTTGGACTTGTGCCGCCGCGTTTTCACAAATCTCCGCGTAAATGTCATCAGCTTTGGTCCTGGTTGTTAATTTGGGAAGGGATGGCACTGGCGTGAGACTGTCTCTAACATGGGAGTAGTCGGGCTGCAATTCAACATTTGCCGGCATTTCTAAAACACTGGTGGACGCTGATCTTTGTACAAGTTGCTTGGAAGAGTTCGAGTGACTCGGATGAGAGGTAGTTTCTGGCTCCAGGCTTGAATAACGCTCTTGACATCTCATAGCGATCTCTGGTTTCACTGCAAACGTGAACGAGGCCGATTTCTTCGCAGGATTTCTGCCACGACTACCCTGGGCGAATTTCGAAATTCGTTCTAGAAACCCGTTCCGACAATTCTGTCTAGTCTGACTCTTCTCCCTGACGGTGCTCTTCTTCAGTTGTTCCAGTCCGTTTTTCAAGCTTTGTAGAATCGGCTTCGTTTCCGGCCTCGGCTTGATTTTCTTCAGGTGCATCTCTTTGAGATTTTCACCGACTGGGTGCAGTTTCAGAGGTGCCACTCTTGGTTCCGTTGCGCGATCCCCGACAGCCCGGCTGAAGTGGAAGAACAGGTTAGGCCACATTAGAATATACAATTTGCAAATGTTTTGCATGTTTTCTATCCGCGATACGGTATATATTATTTTCTATCGCTGATGACATATAATGCACTTTTTCCTATTGAAATACGTGCATATATACATACACGAAATCGATCTTTATTTGATTTACCAATCTACTGCGAATAAGAAGTAGATTAGTATTAAAATTAAGAAATAGCAGATGTAATATACGATCATTAATTATTATCATTATCAACTATCGTTAAGAATTATCTTTGTACTTGTGTCAATCAAATAAATTACAAACGATTAAGTTTAAATAAAGAAAATAATAATAATAATATCGTAAGTTAATTTTATCATGATATTGTCAGGATATGTTTATATTCTTCACTAACTTGATGAAATACTCGTTTTATACGTTTAATCTCTTGAGCATTTCTTCTTGCAAAATTGGATTGTGAGAAATATGAAAAAAATAATGTGTGTATAATGTTGTTCACCTGCAGGCAGATAGTAATCGTTGCATTTTCGGCGATGCCAAAAGTCTAGCTTCTGACGGATAACCTAATCGAGCTCTTCTTACTCTTGGCGCCCCATTTCCGGTTACAACTAATTCAAGCATTTCAGGATTGTGGACTGGTCTTTCTGGCACGATGCAGCCCAAAACAATTGGCCCTCGAGTCGAGCTTTCCAATTGCATTAAACCACCGTATTCTCTTGGCAATGGTACAGGTAGCGGACCGGCTATTAAACGAACCTGAAAACGAGCAGAAACTTTAAATATATAATTCAAGTAGCGATGATAAATCAAACCCGATATGATTATTATTAATTCACTGCTCTTTATATTAATATTAACATTGTTATTTGTATTTCTCACGCTAATTGATTATTTATTTGCTTCGAGCTTTGTTTCTTTAGATTCTTGTAAATATTCAAATATATCTTATAGTACTAAATAGGAGTAATCAGAGTAAAGTAACGATGGAGTGATTAACAAGATCATAAGATAAAGGAATGAAAAAAGAAGAAGGAAATAAGCTTACCCTGAGAGGCAATGGTCTTTTCGCAAGATGATGTACTTTGTACAGTACTGCATCGCTTCCGGTATCGATGCTACCATTCTGGCAGATTGCATAAAATTCACCTCTTGCCGATAAGGGGGCAAATACTTCTCGACCATGTGGATCTAAACATTGAGCGTACTGATCCTTTTCGGAAGAACTGCCGGAAATTCCGAAGGAAACTGTACTACATTTCCTCGTGTCTTGAAAGACAGCTATTAACCGTAGAATTTCTCCGGCTCTGATCGTAGTTTTCGTGTAGTGAGCTCGTAAATTTCCATTTTCTGCAAATAGAAATTCATTCAGCTTGATATGAGAAATATCATTAGCTTCAAACGGAAATATGGAAATGAAAGTGTAAAAAGAAATTGTAGAGATAGTGAAGAATATATTATTTAAATTGAATTACTTCGTCTCCAATATATCAGTCTCTCTTAAACGTATTTATTTTCTTTGTATTGTACACAACATGCTGAAAACAGTAATAGGCATTTCTAAGAATTCCACACTCGACTCGATGTTGGATTAAATATCCCCACCATTACGATATGTATAAGACAAAATTGTTACGCGAGGTGTTATTCGATCGTTCATACTCGTATCGTTAGGACGTATTGCGTAACTTGTTCTCTGTATAACTGCGTTTTCTTTCATTCTGCTATTCTGTTGCCTTCTTATATTAGATTCGTTTTTTTAATATGTACATTTATTTATTAATTTATCAATACTATTATAGTTATAGCTTTTTCTTTTTGTTCCTACTTCTTTGATCGCGTATTTAGCTTACAATTATACCATCAATAGCTTTTCGATTATTAATTTATTTTATTTTTTAAATAAATTGATTTTAATTGCGTGCATCTGTCTTAAATTCGATTCTTTTACGTACAGGTTAATGGCCGGAAGGAATAGCACTTCAAATTATAAATGCTATAATGACTGTCAAGCAATTTGAAGTTTGTGGAGTTCTGGTAATTCTTCATTTATTGTAACAAAGAATAGTTTCATAGTGATTATCTTATACTAGCGCCATCTCGTAGAATCTTAAATCTGGATTTGAAAATATCTAACATGGCTTAGATTCACAATTTCTGCATTTCATATTGTTATATTAGAGTCTCAATTCTTATAGTAATTATAGTAATTTTAGAATTTTAGAATTTCAATTTTTATTTCATAGAGTTTCTTTTCTACTATTTTCTTAAACTTTTTAAGTAACCAACAAATAATACCTCACATTTTGTTAAAGGTTCTTCATAACTACCATTTCTTCTTTCTTTCTGGAAAGGATTCAACAATTATCTTCAGAAGCTAAGAGTGTAAGTTTGCCTACAGCATGCTGTAATTCAATCAATTCTGTTTTTTTATATTCAAAGTTTCAACATGGAATTATAAAATAAAACTATTCTAACGTGCTTCGAGAATTATAAGTTTTTAATTATGGAATTTTTTTTTGTTAAAGATTCCTTGCAATCTCCATTTCCACTTCAACGTTTCTTCCTTGATGACAACCTTCATTATGACAACTTCTGAACTATTTCAGCATTAGTGACAATGTTTTTCGCACTTAATGGTGAGTCGTATGCAATTTTGTTCTTCGAGTTACTCAATCATATTATAGGACAAATTAACATAAGCGACTGGTTGTATATACAATTTTTTATGAGTATAGCGACAGGTATCTATTATATCTGTGAATAGTAATATTTCTTTTCTATGTGTTTTATTTTTAATTCAGCACATCGATTACTGAATGCTAGTAATAATGTATTAATAATTAATACATGTTAATAATATTGAGAATATTTTTAAATAATATTGAGAAAGTTAATATTGAGAATCAAGAATAAATGTTATTCTTGTTATTATTTTGTCGTTATGCTCGTTGTAGTAATAGTAATTATAGTTTGTTTCTTGACCAATATTATATTTTGGCTCACCATCATCTTGGGCAAATCGCAGTTTTTTATTAATTAGTCACAACTAATTAATATCAGTTTGATTGCGAGCGTATATTGATTCGGTTTGAATCGGAGTTGCGATGAAATTATTATTATAGCGTTGTGAATTATGAAATATCGCTATCCTTTTCTTAGATATTTTACTTAATCGCTTCGTTTTATTTATATATTTGAAGTTAAATTAACTTGTAATTAAATTTGTAGCTATTGCGAATTCTTAAAAGAATTCTTTCATCATATATGATACTTTTCACATCATATCTAAGGTGATTTCCCAAATCGCGAGACACGAGAAAAATATCGAATGTCAGGTCTATTCTGTACTTTCTCTGTGGTTCAGATCATTTGTGGTCTCGGGTGGAATTCTTGCCGTTTGCGGTTTGCCAGTCGCGGTCGTGAAGCTTTCTTTCGCGTTTTGTTCTGGTTTAGAACTGATCGAGACGAATATCGTCTTATGGTCATAAATGAAAATTGGGTAACGCAACAATTTCTGGTTAAAAAATTAATACTGGCAGTTGAAATTATAAAAAAAACAGAGATTGGTGTTCTTTGCTCTGTCTTTTACGTGATTTCGTGAGTCTTTATCAAAAATTTTTATTCTGTTTTATAACACACGTAGTATTATGTAATTTATATATATTATTAATCTCATATAATGTCATTTTTGAACTGCGGATTTTTATGAATTTTGAAAATGCAAAATTATACATAGAACGTAATGTATGTAGATAATATGAAAAAAAATATAAAATATTCAGTGTATTTTTTATAATATGTAATAGGTGAAGGAATATTCTATCGATGTTCTATTTTTTTTTAATTATATTCTTGGACATATGAATTTACATAAAAATTCGCTGTCTAATCACTTTTTTCGTGACTGACAATAGTATGACTGTTATTTAGAATAAATATTCAGTGCCTTGGTATTAACAACTTTTCAGTCCTATTTTCCAACAGAATAATTTTTCATTTTATAGGAAATGTAATACGATTAAATATAGTATCTCTCTTAGGATTAATATCGATAATTCCAGTATGTAAAACAGAAACAGAAATTTTGCTTTGTATATTTCCGCCGCCTATATACCGCCTCCATTTACCGTATTCAACTTTCCGCTACCGCTTGAAACGTATAATTTGCGCATTTCCCCATATATTTCTCTTTTTACCAAGTCAGAATACGAACGCTGATATTTATATGCATTTAGGTCAAGAACGTTGCTGCTTGACATTACGATATTACGTTCACGTGTGTACGTAATTAATTCTCTTTTCCTGTTTCTTGCTTCCTTTACTTTTTCTACTACTTTTCTACTACTTTGATTTATTTTATGTTCTTCGCTCATACTTGATTTCTTCCTTGCTCTACCGAAATTACCTACTGTGTTTTTCCTCCTCTTTTACTCATATTTACATTTCATATCTTTTTAGATTTTGAATCATTTGTTGTTTTGTTTCAAATATTTAGACAATTTTCCTGAAGTATTATTCTTTCTATTTCTTTCTAATTTCTTCCATGTTTTTTCCCGTTTATGTACTTCCTTTCCATTTTATATCTACATTATATTACATTTTGTATCTTCCCGTTTTGTACTAACTCCTAAGTGGATCATTAAATTTTTCCATTTAATCTAATTAATAATTATGTTGACATCATTATTATGTTTCTTACTGAGAGAAATTTATTTCTATTTATTTAAATTACAAAAGTATTAAATATTCAACATTTTGGTATAATTAAACATAAACTTCAATTATTAAATTAAAACTGAAAGTCCATCTAAAAGGGTTAATTAATCTTTCAGTTGCAGAAATTTTCATATCTTGCTATAGAAAATCGCGAACAAAATTATCTTGTTTAGATATTGCAATGCAATGTAAATAAAATCGAAGTAAATGGGGGAAAAAAATATTTTTACTTTTTTTTAACTCTCCTACAATTGATAACTTACAACTTCGTAAGTTCATTCGAGTAACATTTCCGGTTCAGATACTCTACAAATTCGGTTCGACGCGATATGATAATAGCATGGGCTGGGAACATTAACATAATAAAAGTAGAATGCAATTTCGACGTTGTTTGCGATTCGAAGGTTACACTTTCAAAGAGATACTAATGCTAATCAATGACAAAAAAATAATTCATTCATTGTATAATTTAACGAGCTAGAATTATGCTCGTACGTGGCTATTGTATAATTAACGAGCTAGAATTATGGCTCGTACGAAAGTATTCGAACATTTATCATAGAAGAACTTTTATGTGTGTTGCATAAAACATTTCGAAATTTTATGATTAAATGGATAATTTATAATTAAAACGGTGATCTGAAACGCATCTGAAAATGTATATAAAAGTTAAGATAATTGAATTCTTAAGTCTCAAGATTTCATATAATATAGTAAATGTGGAAGGTGGTTTCAATACTTTAACAATGGATTGTTTAAATACTTTTGTAATTTAAATATATCTTCAAATTTGTCCGAAGATTGATAGTGTTAATTCAGATTGATATAATATCGTTGATTTTTAAATCTCATTATAGTGTTAATATTGATATAATGAATTGTAGTTATTTAAATAATTTCGTACGTTGAATATATTTCTAGATATATAGTTTCAATCTCGATCACGTCATACTTATGTTGATAACATTTCAATTACAATAACTTTCAAAATGTATCAAAATGTATTCAAAATGTTCAAATAATTTTGTGAGCAACTGTATGCGATGAATTTAGAGCTTATTAC